ATATATATATATATATATATATATATATATATATATATTGGCTTACTTTGAGAACTTAATTCTTAGAGTGTTTTACTAATTGCTCAAATCGACTAGATTAAAGCTTTTGTTCAAATCAGGTTTGGTTTAGTCCAAGAGTTGAACTTAGTGTTCTGATGCCACTATTGAAAGGGTTAGGATCCATTATATGGATGGCCAAACCATGCTATATGGTCGGGCGAAATTTCAAAAATTTCCTAATCCTTGTAGGAATCAAATTCCCTATTTTTTAAAAATTTGCATTTTTTAGGACCGGTCTTGCACTAAATCGGACCAGATTTGAAATCAAACAAAGAGATAAATGTATACCTGATACGGATACCATAAGTGCAAATTCCAAGGCGGAAGTTCACACCCAAATTAATCCTAAAATCAGCCTCCATTGAAGATGGCATAGTGTATTCTTGAAGTTGGTTCAATAACAGTTTTCTGCAAAACTGAGATCCAACTACTTAAATCGAACTGAGGATGATGAGTCTAATATCCCCTGAATTTTTCTTGCAAAAATCAAAGAAAAAACTGATGTATATCAATCCTAAATAGATGATGTCAAACTGGAAAAAATTAGGAGACAAAAGGGTGCGGAGATGACCAAAAACTACAAAAATATGAAACTGTCTTGGATTGGTCCGCCCCCTCCTCTTTTATAATATCTTATGGAGCTATCTCCTAATCTCATTAGGATATAATCCAGATCTAAATCAGATTTGAACTCTAATTAGATATATACCTAATCTTCTTATAAGATTAGGTGCTTCATACCTAGATCCAAACCCAAATTTTCCCCAGAGTTGTCACGACCCATGTGTGATGCATTTGCCAATTTAGGCTTAATTTTTATGATTGTTTAGGTACACATAACCATACTGAGAATAATCATCAGTGAAAGTTATGAAATAACAGTTTTGGTTCTATATCTTAACATTCATAGGACCACTTACATCAGTACGTATAAAGTCAAGTGTGCCTATAGTTCTTTCAAGCTTACTTGTAAATGGTGTTTTTGCCATGGCTCACAAGTTGGTAGATCTTCTATAGTGAGAAAATGTAGAGGACCATCATTCACCAATCTTGTGATGCATTCTATATTAATATGGCAAGTCGGTAATACCACATGCGCATGAGATTAACTGTATCACGTGTTCTTTTCTTAGGGATGTGTTTTGATATGATTTCATTCATATTTGTTTCTATAAAGACCATTCTCAAGTTCTCCGTAAGTAAGGAATTTTTTATTCAATTTAATTATAATCTTATTACTAAATAAAATAGAATAAGCATCCTTACATAGTTTAGAAAATGAAATCAAATTTCTTCTAAGCTATAGAACATAAAGACAATCATTTAATGCAACTATTCCTTTTTTAAAAATTAAATACTATTCCAATAGCAGCAACTGCAATAGTTGCAGTTGTCCCCAAGTAAAGCACAATCTCATCATCATTTAGTCTTTTGCTTTCCTTGAGCCCTTGCAATGTATTATATGCATGAGTAAAAGCCCTAGAATCAATACACCAGGATGTAGAAGTAACCAACAGATTGGTCTCTATGACCTGTGTTTCGAAATTACCGTATTTCTTCTTCTTGAGGGTTTCTAGATATTGAGGACAATTTCTCTTCCAATACTTGTTATTAGCAACATTATCCAATTTCTCAAACATGAGCAATAGTTAACGTTATATATTCAGTCCGCACAGTTGGGTCCCTTGAATTTGTTGTTGTCTAACAATTTAGCGAACTGTTCGTGTGCCATTTCGGATAAAAGGCACGATTAATTACTCCACAACCTTAATGTTGTTTCATGTTATCTTTCATACAATGGACTTTAATCTGTTTCATCTCCATTTGTTCATCTCTGAGATTTTCCTCATATCTCAGTGGCGAGGACATAGGTCATGTCCTTAGAAATGTAGAAAATCACATAGGTGCACGGGCCAACTGTTTCAGCAGCATAACCCTACTTAGTTTTTGTAAATGATCAGATATCCCCACCCACCCAATGATCTTTTCCTTTGGCCTCCATCAAACAAGGTTCATTACCATTTTAGGTTAAACCTTTCTAACTAGTAAGTGCAGACTCGTCATATTGGGAGCCCCAAGGTACTGTGGAAGAGTCTTCCATTTTATGATAGGCCTCTCCCACTAGTATATGACTCCCCTATCATCTAATGAAGCAATCCCACTGATTGTCTTAGTTAAATGGATAGCCCAAATTTTATGGTGCATCTCCACCCACCAAGTCAGTCCATTTTCATGCTGATGACGGAAGGCCTTTAGATATATTATCTTATGATGTTCTCTATATCATTGCACTTATATTAATCATGAAGGAATGTGTATATAATCAATAAGTCAGATTTAAGTCATACATAGTGGTTCCCACTAACTTTCATAAGTCAGATTTAAGTCATACTATGATGTTCTCTATCTCATTGGCCTAGGGTTTGGTGTCCAAAACATGCATCGGTTCACATTGGTAATGATCTGAAATTCTCAGTTATGATTCACAATCATATCAACAAATAAATAGTAGATAATTAGAAATAAATAGCTAAGGCTGATAGTGTGATGGTTCAAATCCAATCCGAACAAAAACTACATTCTTACAAAACTACAATCTGTAGATTGATCTCCATCTGCAATCTTTATCTTCTCCACAAGCTCCAATGATTTCTCCAATGTAAAAAAATAGAAAACCCTAATTTCTATTGTTTACATAAGAAAAACCTAATATATTCTTTTAGAAAAGAAAAAAAGTAATTAATTATAGACCAAATAATCAAATTAATAAATTTGGTGCGGATTGATCTTATCAACATCATGAGTTCAATATCCATCACACTTTCATCCTAAGATTTCAAGAATCCATAATCCCCACTTTGAGAGAACTGAATTCTCAGAGATTTTTGCTAATTGCTCAAATTGGCTAGATTAACTCTTACCGATTTGAGTTTTGGTTCAAATCTAGTTTGGTTCAATCTAAGAGATGAACCTAGTACTCTGGTTCTAATATTGAAAGGGTTATGATGATGGCTGGGAATCCAGTTTGGTTCAATCTAAGAGATGAACCTAGTACTCTGGTTCCAGTATTGTTTGGCTGAACCATGCTAGATGGCTGGGAAAATTTTCAAAACTTTTCTCATCATTCTGGGAATTGAATTCCCCATGTTTTGAAAAACTACTTTTTTTAGGATTGGTCTTACACTAAGCCAGACCAAATTTGAAACCAAACAAAGAGGAAGGTGTATACCTAATACGGATACCACAAACATAACTTCCAAGGTGGATGTTCACGCTCGAATCAGTCCTAAAACCAACCTCTATTGAAAATGGCACAGTGTATTCTTGAAGCCAGTTCAACAACACAGTTTTTTTCAAAACTGAGATCGAACTTCTTGAATTGAACTAAGGATGATGAGCCAAATATCCCCTAAATTTTTCTTGCAAAAATCAGAAGAAAAACTGATCTATATTAGTTCCAGATAGCTGATGTCGAATTGGAAAAACTGGGAGGCAAAAGGGTGTAGAGAGAACTAGAAACTACAAAAATATGAAGTTGTCTTGGATTGGTCCGCCCCATCCTCTTTTATAATCTGTTATGGAGCTATCTCCTAATTAGATTAGGAGATAATCCAAATCTAAATCAGATTTGGACTCTAATCAGAGATATACCTTATCTTCTTATAAGTTTAGGTGCTCCATACACAAATCCAAACCTAGATTCACCCCGTAGTTGTCATGTGCCAACTTAATTAATTATATTAATTATGGACCTTAGGCCCATCAGCTATAAGGCTCACGATCGAAGGGTGTTGTATGGCCAACTTAAGCCTGATTTGTATGACATGGGACCCCACAATGACCTCACATAAGTCCGCATGGGTTTGGCCCAGCCTTTGTAAAAAGGCTTAGCCAAATTCACTGCTAAACTCAATGAACTCCTGAGCACATTACTATAGGCTCAATATGGGCCCAATATTTACACTTAAATGATCATTGAATTCAGTCATCCTATGAAGGTCCAAGGATAATGGACTTAATTAAGATAAAGCACATATGGTAATCAACCTTGTAATGGTTTCTTATACTTAACCACTCGGCCCATGATGATCAAACACTGCCCGATGGGGAAGGATCTCTCCCCTGGCTACAAGGTGTAATGTCACACTCTCTACTCGAATGGATCTCAGGAATTAAAAGAGGAATGTTTCATCCGCGCGAATCTAGAGGATGGTTCAATTGACACCTATAGCCATGATTTTTTGTTTTAGCCCTAAGCTAAGGTAAGGTCATGGATATACTGTAGTGGCCCCACCAAGAAGTCACTTCATCTAATTCAAGATGGGGCCACGACAGCAAATCAAAAGCTTTGATTTAATTGTTTCAGAGCAAGGCTATGACACTGTAGTAA